GGGTATGGCAATAAGGCCCATGGCAGAGAAACTGAGTGCAGGCCAGTACAGTAACACAATGAAGGTGAGGTCCAGAACTCGTAAAACTGTTGACCTTGCAAACAGTTCTCCTCAGCCGAGTCCTTGCTCTAGGCCTGAGGGGCAGTTCTTTCATACTCAGCTTGTGTTAACTGCATGGTCCCAGCACCCACCTACCTCTCAAGCTCACCACAGCCCCAGGGCCTACCAGCAATTTAGGTAGGTCATCCTTACTTTCTGCTTTGTATTTTAAGCTCCTTTATTCTGTTGTTAATTTCCTACTCTTCCTCCTCCCCCTGCCTGTCAAGTCCCAGGATGCAGGCCACAGGCGGCCGCGCCACGGGCCTGTGGCCAGCCAGTGATTCTGAGGCAGGGAAATCACTGCCCACCTACAACTTCTGCAGACCCCAGCCTCAGTGCCCACCCACTAGCCTGTCCTGTCCCTGGTTGCATGCCACAGACAGAACCAGTCTTCTGGCCAGCCAGTGATTCTGAGGCATGGACATCATTGCCCACCTACCTCTCCTGCAGACCCTATCCCCAGTGCCAGCCTGCTAGGAAGGTAAGTCGCCATTACTTTTGGCTTTTGATTTTAAGCTGCTTTATTCTCTTGTTAATTTCCAGCTATTCCACCTCTCACAGCATGTCCTGTCCCAAGATGCAGGCCATGTACAGACCCAGTGCCAGGGCTTTTACCAGCCAGTGATTATGAGGCATGTACATCACTGCCCACATTCCTCTCCTGCAAACCTCAGCCCCAGCGCCCACCACTAGTCTGTTTTGTCCACAGCTGCAGGCCACAGACAGACCCAGGGGCTAGCCTCTGGCCAGCCAGTGATTCTGAGGCAGAGACATCACTGCCCTCCTTCCACTCCCGCGGACCTCAGCCCCAGCATCTACTTGCTAGCCTGATCTGTCCTGGCTGCAGGCCACAGACAGACCCTGCAATAGGCCTCTGGCCAGCCAGTAATTCTGAGGCAGGGACATCACTGCCCGCCAACCTCTCCTGCAGACCCCAGTGTCCCGACCCGGGGGATGACAGTTGAACAGGTTTCCTGAGTTAAGGAGTGAGAGCCGGGACAAGCGGCGTAGTGTTACAACACGGAGATGACACCGTGTCTTTAGTGTTGTCTGTTCATTGTGGGCAGCACAGTACAGCACAGAGACGATGCAGTGTTACAACTCTTAAGGGTCACATCATCTATTGTGAGCAGCACGGAGACAACGCAGTGTCACAACTCTCCAGGCTTGTGCGGAGATGATGTAGTGTTACAACTCTTTAGGGTTGTCTGGAGACTGTGCGGTGTTTCAGCTCTTCAGGCTCTCCTGGTCGTCGTCTTCTTCCTGGTTGTCTGTGTCGACTTCCTGGTCATCTTCGTCTTCCTGGTCATCGTTATCTTTCTTGTCGTTGTCGTCTGGCTACTGTGGGCCAGGCATCGTGGTTATATAAAGGCTGGTGGGTTGTAAATTGTGGGCCGTGATTGGTTGTAAACAGTGGGCCATGATTGGTTGTAAACGGTGGGCCGTGATTGGTTGTAAACAGTGGGTTATGACTGGTTGCTTTTGGACCAATCATGAGGTGCCAGATATGCAAATTTGAGGGATTCTAGTGGTCAATCAGAGCAAGGTTTTGAAGGTCCGGTTTTTTGAAGGGAACCAATCATGGCAATTGTTTGCTTGCTGAGAAACCTCAGAAGACTCCCTGGTGTGCAGCCTCTCACACCCCAGCCCCAGCACCCACATGCTAGCCTGTCTTGTCCCCGGCTGCAGGTCATAGATGGACCCACGCACAGGCCTCTGGACAGCCATTGATTCTGAGTTAGGGATATCACCACCCACCTAACTCTTGGGCAGACCCCAGCCCCAGCGCCCACCCGCTATGTAGGTAGGTTACCATTACTTTCTGTTTTGGATCTTAAGCTCCTTTATTCTCTTTTTAACATCCTGCTCTTCCTCCTCTCACAACCTGTCCTGTCCCCGTCAGCAGGCCAAAAACAAACTCAATGCCAGGTCTCCTGCCATCCATTGATTCTGAGGCAGGGAC